TTGCTTGTAATAACATAGGGGGAACATTTAAGCAAGTCACGGCACCATGGCATTTAAATTACGAGAAATAAACATTTCATGTTTATATTATTATTGTATTTAGAAATGATTAATTGCCTGTTGAATTCCGCGTCATCCTCGGCTTCCCAATCTAACTGTCCAGGCTCTTCTTCTACATCGCTCGGGCGATCCTCGGATTGAGTCGGCTCCACAGTTTCGTTGTTTTTTTCAGCATACCTTCGTGGCAGATTGCTTGGCAGATGCGTCGAGGAAGTGGAGGAGGAAGACGCTACACGCTGAAATGAACGCTTGTTGCCGGTACATTCGTAGCGTTGTACGGTGCCTCCAGACGCTTTACGCTTTCGATCTGCCTCACGATGATGGTCCGCCTTTTCCTTGGCAGTTCTGGAGCGCTGATGACCGCTGTTCCTCTGATCAGACAGCTTCCGGCATAAACCACTGGTGCTGCGCTCACGACTATGACGATATGAGTGACGACTGCGGTTATCGGTTCTGCTGTGATGTGAACTATCATATCTGCAACACATAATGAACAAAATCACATTGTGATCCAACGCCCCAATGAACTATATTGCAAAAAATCAACTATAGAGAAAACAATTACAACAACTTGATGCAAAGGAGAATTGTTGATTTAAGGTGGCTTTAATAGTCAATACAATCCTATTTTCACACATCGAGCATTACAAATAGTAACATACACTTGCAAACAGAACATAAATATAACAGTGAAAAAAAAATAGTCGTAGGTCGGCAAGGAGCAACTATTCAAAAACGATGTGAGGGGCGATGAAAGTCTGTTCCCAACAACTGAATATCTTTATCCCTGTCGATTAGACATGAATGATAAAGGTTACTGAGAATTTAATGCAACAGAGAGCAAAATGCCTCCGTTCAACATCGCACAGTCCTGAAGAGGTTACTACCAGAGATAACTCCGAAGCGGCCTGTAACAGTCTCTACATTGCATGCACACTTACACACATA